ACTTTGACCCGTTTTGTGGCCGGGCAGCGTGAGCTGAAACGGGAAACGCGGAAAAAAGCAAATCAAGTGCGCGATGGGAACGTTTTTTCCAATTTTTTCACTCGTTTTTATTTGCTAAATAAGGTTGCCTACCGTTGGGTGGAAAATGGAAAAGCAAAACATCATCAAATACGAAGGGTGGCAGAGGGATTGCGGGAATGCCAGAGGTTGCGCTTTAGGGTGGTCCAAAACAGCACTCTCCACCTCTCCTAAATTCCCACACAAATGCAATCGGTACTAAGCCTTGATTCCATGCTTCCTTCGTTGGTAACACACTGCAATGCCCTTTACTGCTTGGATAAACTTTATTACATGGCTCTAATCGTTTCGAAAAAAAAAATTTTTTTTTAAAAGAAATATTATTTCTTTAATATGCCACAAAGATAATTATAATTAATGCATAAAAACGTTGCAAACTATTTTTCTTTTCTTGAGTTTAAGTCAAACTACCCAACACTCCAGCTTCTCCTTGATTTTTATAAAATCTCACCTTTCACTGCAGCTGCATTTTTTTTTTGCCAATTGTTATTGCACTTTGTTCATTTCTCGCGGCAAGTGCAAAGCATAAAATAAGAACGATGATGACTCCCCATTATTCTCACTTCCCGCGCTTCACCTGCAGTTGCATTCGCTTTTTAGCTAGAACGGTGGCAACAACAGTTTCCACTGGCCCCGCATCTGAACTGTTTCTCCCTTTTGCTTTTGTGCGTGTGGAGAGAAAAATAAAATAGAATTTTCGACGGAAACGCGAAAATTTTATAAAAGCACACGGGGCGTATGAGTGCTGGCCGTTGTCATGACGACATTCATGGAGCAAATATGCAAATGATTCGAGAACAACAGGCTGGAAAGATATATTCCGATTAGGGTCATGCAGCATTACTGGAGTGATCATATTAAACTAGAAAAAATATTCAATTTCAAGCTTTGATCACTTTTGAATATACGGTACTTTCGGATAAATACAATAAGTGATAGCCCCAAAAAACAAACTTTTTAATCATCTAACGGCGTTTAAAAATCAATGCACAGCTTAACTGGCCATAATCTCCATTTAGGACTATCAAACTAAGCCTGTTATTACCTGATTCATAACACGCCCTTTGTCGCTTTTTTGGGCGTCGAACAAACAAATAACTTGCCACCCTATACAAATACCAAAGTCACATACATCCTATGTAAACGCACACATATCACTTATGTATATCGCTTTCAATATTTCATATATACGACAGGGTATTTGTTGTGAGTTGTTACGCTTCCCCAACCCTTTGATCAGCCAGCCGACGGCTAAAACCGTGGCTGGTAACTAATTTGAAACTGTCCCGACGTTTCCTACCCACACCATCCACTGATTTTTTCTATATTCTCAATTTATTTTTTATGATGGTGCACCGCCCCCATCACGTAGAATGCAGTTTCCATGCTTGTGCCGCTCACTTTTTGTAATTGCTTTGACCAGCGTAGATATTATTTTATTGTACGAGTTTTTTCGGGCTATTATATATATATTCTATGACGCAGTACATGCATTTAATGCATTCGAGGGTTGCAGCCGGATTTTTAACCCAAATGGAATGTCACCATGTGGAAAAAATATCTGCGTTCCAGTGGAATAGAGAGTTTGCACTGGAAGCTATGTGAGCCTGGGGTTCCATTGCTCTTTTTTAGGAGCTCTTAGTTCTTTATTATAGTTTTTCTGGAATATGAAAACTAAAACTCCCTAGACGAATTTCTATCCAACCTGTGCCAGTCAACTGCGCTCACAACTCGGGCAACTTCTTTCAATTTCTTTTGCCAATCAAGTCGACCATAGTAACTTGTCAGTCCTTCCTCATATCTTTGACTATTGAAGAGCCTGGCCACATGTACACATTTTCCATTAATTAAAAGGAAACTCGAATTGCCGAGGAGACAGTGACCGGACAAAGACTTGGGGTCCGGAGCACTGGCAACATTTTTCGAAGTCCATGGCTGAGACGGAACCGGAACAACCCCGTCGGGAGTCTTTGTGACTGAACGAGGCCCGAAGTTAGGATTCTACTTACGGATTTGGCTCGAGCTCCTCATGCACGACTTAAGCTCATCCCGAGCAACCTTGACTTTGCCAGCAGCCGCAGGCCAAAGATGAGGGGCTGTCCCTTCTTGGCAAGTAATTTGTTTTGGGCCTGACAGCAGCCCACGAGGCGTATGAGTAACACCTGCCAGGCAGAGAAACACACACATAGGAACACACAGGAGGAGTGGCCATAAATCCTAGCATTTACTTCCATCTCTCGTCCCGCCGGAAAGTTGCTTTTGAAGTCGCTCACACAATTTTGTAACCCTTTTTCGGTAGCGGCCCCAAGATGTGGGATGGGCAGGATGCTCCTCTAAATATCAGAAATATGCGGGCTTGTGGCATCTTACTAGTTAAAGCAAAGCTACGGGGGTGGCAGAGTTCAATGCAGAAGGCAGCACCCAGAACTAACAATCCGATGAGGTGACAGGAGGCGGAGGATAAACATGTGCTGTTGCTTGCTGCCAGCCTAAAAGCAGACTTTGACTTCGACTGCGTCTGGAGCACAGGCACAGGCACAGGCACACCACTACAATGCCGACGCCGGCAACCTCTAAGCACACGCATAATGAATTACCACCCAGCCAGGAATCGTCCTGCTTCCTGCGTCCTTCGTCCTTTGGCCCCTTGCCATTCCCTCCGCCACCAACTGCCGATGACATATTTCTCCAGACAGAGGCTGCTGCTGCTGCTCCTCCCACTCCTTTCCTGCGGAGCAGCGCCTAAAAGGCAGCTAAGAAAATTTGCGTTTAACTCATAAGTGCGTGAAAGGGTTGCCAGGACCTGAGTCCCAGTCGCCCACATCCACCCCCTTCCCTCCCATCACCACCACCCCAGACCGAACAACATCCCTGCTTGGTGTTGCCTCTGTGCACTGTCAAGGAAATTGTAGTTTAAATGAAATGGAAGTTGCTTTTATCAACGACGAAGAAGGTGGTCTGGGGGCTTAGGGTTTCGGATTGGAAAGGGCAGTGGGAATAGGAGGGGGCTAGTGTGTGTGAGCTTTCTTAGAACTTCTCCCCCGTGTGTGTGTGTGTGTATATAAATTAAAATGCCTAAACATATGCATTAGTTTTTGTCTCAGTCTCACACCCCAGCTCGTGTGTGTGTGTGTGTCGGTGTTTGTGTGTGTTTGGGGGCTTGGGGTAACTCCAAAGTTTTTGTGGTTACGACATTGGTTTTCGGGGGAGGTGCGAGCGAGGATGCTTGAGACAAGCTCTGGATGTGGGTGGTTCTTAGGGAACGAGGCGAACTGTCAGTCTCGAGTCGGTCTCGAGCTGTGGCCTGACAACTTAGTCTAATGAGAATTCAAATTCGAAACCCAACTACGCAATCGTGCTGAAGAAATTAAAAGAAATTGCACATGATGTGCTGCTGTGTGTGTGAGTGTGTGTGTGTGGTCGGGTGTGCCTCTGCATTGAACTGTATGATATATATATAAACAGGGAAGGCTGTAGGTAAGAAATCAAATATTTGTTTCACTTTCTGGCAATAGACTACAAAATATTTGTTCAAACTCAACTCGAAAGCCGAAGAGTGAATAAAATTGTACAAGGACTGCAGCAAGCTGTAGGAAAAAAGGGTCTCATGATAATTAACTTATGAATAAAGAAGGTACAGCCTGCCCTGTAGGTAACGTTACAGTTAGACCAGATAACAGAATACACTGAAAAAACTATTGACGCTTTAAATTGGGACCCATGTTCTTAGAACTCAGTTTGGTCCCTTCAAACATTCCCCAAATCATTTCCCAGAGTTACCCACCCATATGCCCCAGAGATCCAGCAAATTAATGTTAATTAAGACTTGAAGTCCATTCACGTTTAAAGGGAAAAAGAAGGAAGCCTCAATCCCGTTGGCCATCCACACGGAACACAGCTTCATTTGTGCTGCCATTCCCAGTCCCAAGCCCCAATCTCAGAACCCCACCACTGCCCCACCTTAGAAGTGTCCTTCAACCACAAAACCAAAGGAGTGCGGAGGAAAAAAGCTTGTGTGCCGGACGACCAACGTCTTGGGCGAAATGTTTCATTAGAGCCATGTTGGCCGCAAAGGGGCGGGCTGGAACCCCAAACCAACCCGTCGGCCCCCCTACCCTTAAGTGACCCAACCCTGGCCCCACCAACTCGACTAATTTCCAGTGCACAAAAGGCGGACAGTGAAAAAAGGCAACCCCAAGAATGGACAGCCAGGAAAAAGGAACAGATTGAGGGTGAACTGGACCTGGCCTGAAGATGAAAGTCGGTAAAACTTTCCCCTTGAAGCCCTTGACTGGGGTTTGGGACTCTTTCTTTGACGTTACGTCTTTTTTGCATTCTTTTGAATGGTCTAACGAACTTCCAACTGGTCCTACTTCTAATCATTGGGATTTGGCATATCGAACGGAGTCCCGAAACTTTATGCGGTCTCGGAAAAGTTCGCTCGTCGCTTCCGCAAAAAAATTTAAAAAATGGCCGAACCGTTTTACAGTTTGAAAATAATTCTAAGGTTGATTTAATGCCGATTTTACAATTTCTAATTTGAATTAAACGTAGAGTCACCAATCGATTAAATTGTTAAAAATGATAACTTAAAAAATTTACACTTTTTGAGCAATTAAGTAGTGTAAAAACATATTAGACCAGCAATCCATTTTTAATAAATATATTTATTCCAATACATAATCGAAGTTATTACAAACAAACTTTGTGCTTATCCAGTATTTTAACTAATACCTAAAAACAAAATGATAACACAACCAGATTGAGATTTACAATTAACATTTGTAAAAACTTATTAAACCATCAAAATTACTTGTAAAAGCGTAGTAATGCTTATAAATATACCTAATCTAGACAAGAATAAAGGTGTTACAAATGAACTTTGTACTCATCCAGTACCTTTCACCCATTTCTCTTCGCAGGAAACCATTCCGGCAACACCGGTCGTGAGCACCGACACCAGCAGCGTGGTCGGTGTGGGCGTTGGAGGCGTCGCCGGAGGAGGGGTGGGGGCTGGAGCGGGTGGCGGCGGCAGCGGAGTGGGCGGCACCGGCGGACTCCTAGGCGAGGTGGTCAGTGGACTGGGCGGAGGCCTGGTCAGCGAATCCGAGGCGTACGCCGGCCTGATGAAGGACGCGGACAAGCTGAAGCTGATGCTGCTGGCCTGGAACTACCAGAACTCGACGGCGGTGCGCAATGGAACGGAGGGTCCCGACCTGAGCGTGGTGGGCGGCCTGTGGGCGCAATACCAGAACGCCCTGGCCCAGAATGCCGCTGCGGCGGCGGCGGCCAGCGGCAAGATGGACAGCTCGCTGTCACCGGTGCCGCGCCAGGATGCCCACTCGCCCATGGAGACGCAGGACGAGACCAACTCGTCCGGGCAGAAGGAGGAGGACGAGGTCTCCGAGGACGACTCCGACGACAAGCTGGACGAGAAACTGGCCACCACACACGATCCCGAGCGGCTCAAGGCCTTCAATGTGAGTAAAGCGTGAGCTGTGAGTGAGCGGCGAATGTAAAGCCAAGCGTTGCCAAAGATTCGCCAGACATCTGGTCACGATTTTATATTGGGTTACTATAACGCATCCCCGCCTCTTTCAGATGTTCGTGCGGCTGTTTGTCGATGAGAATCTCGATCGCATCATTCCCATCTCGAAGCAGCCCAAGGAGAAGATCCAGGCCATCATCGACTCCTGCGCCCGGCAGTTCCCCGAGTTCAGCGACCGATCCCGCAAACGCATCCGCACCTATCTCAAGTCCTGTCGGCGCAACAAGAAGACCCGCGATGGATGGGAGAATACGGTGAGTTTAATGTGTAGATTAAACTTATACTTATACTTAGAAAGGACAATCATTTTTTAGCTAATTTATTCCCCTTTTTTAATTCAAGTTTATGTAAATCTTTTTTAAACATTGAGGACTTACAAAAACTAAGCCAATACAATTTCAAGAGAATAAGTAAATTCGTGAATTTTAGACCAACTGTGAAAACATAGTTTTTAGAAAACCTTTAACCATTAAGGCCCCATATTTTGTTCTTTATAATTTTTCGGTTTTCTCGATTGCGCACAATAAAAATTTAATTATTTTTAAGCCTTTATATTTGAACTTCAAAAAATATTATTTTAAGTATTAAGTACACGTAATGTCAGTTGAAACATATTATTTGATTAAAGGCACGTATAAAGGTACGTATGAGTGATTTAAGGCCAATATGCAGACATTAAAAAAAGATTTATTTCAACTTCTGAAATGCCTTCAATGCATTAAAGCGGATAATACAAAACATACATTCATCCAAACCTTAACTGTCCTTTTGTACATATCCAAAATTTCCACTAATCAACCCGCTGCCTCTTGCTCTACTTTTACAGACCCGACCCACTCCCGCCCATCTGACGTCCGTGCAGGCGGAGCAAATCCTGGCCATCGCCTGCGAGAACGAGTCGATGAACGCCAAGCGGATGCGCATCGGCCTGGAGCCCATCACGCACGCAGTTCCCGCTCCCGGAAGTGCGGTGGCCGCAGCAGCAGCGGCAGCGGCGGCCGCTGCGGTGGTGGCTGCCACAAGTTCGGGCGCCGGCGGCACCAGCACCACCTCCGCCGGCAATGCCACGGTGACCTGCGGCGTGGGCGACGCCGGCGGACTGACCAGCGTGGCGGCCGCCGCCCTTCCGTTCGTCAGCGCCGTCGGCTTCGCCCGCTCCACGCCCAACTCGGAGCATGCGGATGTCCTGCCCTTCGGAGCAGCGGGCACTGTGGGCGGCAGTGGGGGCGGTGGTGCCGCCGGCGGGGGCGGTGGCGGGATGAGCTCGGCGCGCAGCTCTCCCCTGGCCCTCAGCTCGAATGCCAGCGTGAGTGGCGGCGCCAGCGTCACCGGCCTGACCCTGGCCAATGGAGCAGGTGCCTCCAACGGAGCCGGGCTCCCGGCCAGCAGTCCCTACACCACGGACTTCAGCTCCCCCTCAACGGCCTCGCCTTTCGTGGCAGCGGCTGCGGCTGTAGCCGCCGGCCGGGCTCCCAGCTATCCCGGCTATTTTCCTGGAGTAGCTGGCCTGGGAAATGGTGAGTAAAATGCATTGATAAACAACAAAATTTAGCTACGGTGGGAGTTATAATGCAATTTCTATGTTCAGCATATGCACATTTCAAGCAAACTTTAACTTAAGAGATTTCAATGTCAATATTAAAGTGACATAATTCTAGTACTGAATAAATATCAAAATGATATTATTGTTTTAAATTGTATTATTTATATTATTTACCTTAAAAAGTTAAATTACTGCGAGTATTTGTTTCTGAATATGTGTAACTTCAAAAAAGAAAATCTTAGCAAAATATTACATTTTTATAAGTACTTCAATTTTGTGAAATTGTAATCTATGCTATTTTAAAAGTTCGCTCTATCAAACTTAAAGCCCCACCACACATTCCGTTTTGTTAAATACATTTTTAACAGTTTTGTTATGTGTAATATCGAAAAAATCAGGCAAGTGCTTAAATTTTTTAAGTACAAAATCAGACGAAATCAATATTAGGAAATCAGAATGTGTAATTTTCCCTTTATATTAAAATAGTATACATTCAAGAATATAAACTTGATTTAAAAAAAATCTAACCATCGCTTTTTCTTACAGTTACGCCCACCGATCTCTCGATGAAGCCGACCAGCCTGTCCGGCGGCCTTGGTGGCAACTTGGTCAGCAACAACAACAGCAACAGCTCCGTGGCCGGCAACATCAACTCGCAGCTTAGTGCCGCCAATTTGGCCAGCCTGAGCAATGCGAACAACAACAACGCACTGGTGACCGCCACCCAGCAACTGCAGCAGCTGCAGCAACAACAACAGCAGCAGCAACAGCAGCAGCAACAGCAGCAGCAGCAACAACAGCAGCAGCAACAACTCCTGGTGGCCGGCGGTGGCGGGATGGACGGTCAGTCCGTCCGAGCGCCGCCCATCCTGCCGCACAAGCTGAGCGCCAACGAGGTGACCGCCGCGCGGCAGGTGATATCCGCCTACCGCGAAAGCGCCGCCTTTCTGCTCCGCACCGCCGACCAGGTGGAGCAGCTGCTCGTCCAACAGCAGTAGGCGTGGCCCGAGGCCCTAGCGGGGTTGTTCCTATTTTAAATTAAATTTAAAATGAATTACAAACACACTCCAGACAAAAACGAAACACAAGCCAAACTAAGCGAAAATAGTCAAAACCATATAGCGCAAAACCGAAACGAATTAACACTGGCTCACTGGATGCAAGGCAGAACCATGTAGTTAAAGAAGTTCGTTCAAAACAAAACATTTTAAGTGTTTTTTCCTCCAACTACGTACAGCATATTTAAAATAGAACTTAACGATAAACAAAAACCAAATGAAATATTGCAAATATCACAACAGTAAAATAGTAGAGCTGCCAAGGTTAGCTGACTTGGCTCTAAGCTAAATTCAATATAAACTTCACTTCCTTGAAGCTCGCAATTTTGGTTTCCATAGGCATTACAAAATATCCACTGTAAGGATGGTTTCAATGGAATTCTCTGAAACTTGTTCGTGTATTTTTCTTCAAATTCCTTGAAAACGATCGACATTAGATACAATTCAGATAGCATGGCGGCTCTAATAAAAATAAAACCAAGCAGCAGTTCAACGTACTACAGTGTCTACTAAAAGTAAACCTACAATAGCCATACACAAACACTCGCATTGATTTTGTTTCAACTTTTTATTATTGCATATTGTTGGACTCTCGTCCCTAGGAGAGCCGCAGATTCCGGGCCCGTTTTTAAAGTGCGCGATTTGTTAAAAAATTTAAATATAATAAATAAGTTGAAGTATTGTTGTACATTTTAAGACAATGGAAAAAAGGAAAAAACCAAAAAAAAAATCGTAAAACTATGAGAAAACACAGGGTGATACTTTGAAAAATTATTACAATGCATAAGCTAAAAAATTATAAAAGAAAATGTAAAAAAAATTTATGGAAATGAAGTAAGGCATAGATGTTGGTAAATGTGTATTTAACGTTTAGAAATTACATTTGTATACTGTTTCCAGGATTTATCGTTCTTGATTACTATCAATTGAGTTTTATTTCTGATTTCCTTTTTATTAAGTGTATATAATTTTCAAGTTTATACTGAGAAATTTTAAGTTCAACTGTTGCTTTTGACTCACATTCGATTATTAAATAGATACGGAATAAAATATTTAAATACAAAATAGCCATTCATGTTTTTTGCAAATATAAATGTGCATGTAAAAATAAGAGAACACTTACACAAAACACAAAGAAACACATGGAACATCGGTATGTATGAGAACCGCTATGCAAGGCAAATTATAGAATTTAATTATATAAATTAATTGATAAAATTATTTAACCACAAATAATTATTGACTAAACCTAAATAAATACTCCAAACGAACTTGATAAACGGCTTGCAAGGCAGGAGAATATTTATACTTAAATATAATGTAATATGTGGCATTTGCATTGATGAGTAAACTAATTAAACTAACACGAGGGCAACACAAGTGAAACAAGACATTTTAAAAATCGAATTAATAAAGAATTTATGAGAATTATATGTACATTAAATACGTGTGTTTTTTTGTTGGAGCAGGATTTGGTGGGTTTGGAGCTTTAATCTTGACTAAATGGGTCTTTATCTTTATCTTAACGCAATTGCCGATGCTAACGAGATTGGGCACGTAGCAATTTTAGCATCTTTAAATTATTTTATTAAAAAACCTATTCAAATAAATTTATCTAATGTTAGTTAACAGATATTAAGTAAACTGCTTACACTAGCGTGGACAAGAACCTTGCATATAGCCGATACAAAAACCTTCGACTGGTTGTGTTCAATGCTGAACAGAATATAAGAGTCAGTTGTCAGTCTAGTTTTAAATACTGTTAACAACAGAAAAATGGCAACGCCCGGATGGGGAGGCTGGCAACGCCGGGATTGGGAGGGTCGTCTTGGGAGGCTTGGGAGCGTTTCCTACGCTTTTCTGAGGGCGCAACTTTTGGGGGGCCTCACGTTGGGGGCCGAGTTCGGAAAACTGAGAAATTGGGGAAAAACCGGTAAAGTTCAGTTTGACGGTCTGGCAGCACTGTATTTTGCACAAGGGTAACACGCGCGACTGGAAAACTGGTGCATTCGATCACTTTCCACGGAAAACTGATCGCGGCGACCTGCGCCCCACCGCCGGCTCCCGTCGACGTCACTTTTTTCTCGCGGAAAATGCGGCGGAACGGAGAATTACGCGACACACAGATCTCAGGTCCAGGCAGTGTGACCACCTTTGGGTTCAACGCAAATATAGGCGCTTTCTGGCCACTTTCGCATGGCGTTACGGGAGATTTTGCTGTTTCTCCAAGGAGGTCATACAGTTTTGGCGCCGTTGTTCAAAGTTCTCAAGTTACCATACTTGTGTTTTTTATAAAATGGACCTTTTGAGGCTTAAATTCTTTGCCATGCCACACCTGCGCGCACAGGTGGATGTTCCGCACGGTAAAGTAAATGGATATATTTTATCCAAAAAACTGCACTCCTGAGCCCATAACTTTTCTTAAAGACATCCGATTTTAAAGTGGCATACTTCAAAATGATTGTGGTTTAATTCTCTAAAAATCTGTGTACTCATCTTGGTTTGTATTTTTGGGTCGATTTTTGGTCATTTTAATGATGTTATCCCTATCCAAATTTTCGGAAAATAGCTTTTCAGAAAAGTGACCAAAAACCTGCACTCCTGAGCCCATAACTTTTCTTAAAGACATCCGATTTCAAAGTGGCGTACTTCAAAATGATTGTTGTTTAATTCTCTAAAAATCTGTGTACTCATCTTGGTTTGTATTTTTGGGTCGATTTTTGGTCATTTTAATGATGTTACCCCTTTCCAAATTTTCGGAAAATAGCTTTTCAGAAAAGTGACCAAAAACCTGGGCTTAGAAAGCCCATAACTTTCCTCAATGACATCCGATTTCAAAGTGGCATACTTCAAAATGATTGTTGTTTAATTCTCTAAAAATCTGTGTACTCATCTTGGTTTGTATTTTTGGGTCGATTTTTGGTCATTTTAATGATGTTACCCCTTTCCAAATTTTCGGAAAATAGCTTTTCAGAAAAGTGACCAAAAACCTGGGCTTAGAAAGCCCATAACTTTCCTCAATGACATCCGATTTCAAAGTGGCATACTTCAAAATGATTGTGGTTTAATTCTCTTAAAATCTGTGTACTCATCTTGGTTTGTATTTTTTGGTCGATTTTCGGTCATTTTAATGATGTTACCCCTTTCTAAATTTTCGGAAAATGGCTTTTCAGACAAGTGACCAAAAACCTGCACTCCTGAGCCCATAACTTTTTTACAGGAATCCGATTTTAAAGTGGCATACTTCAAAATGATTGTGGTTTAATTCTCTAAAAATCTGTGTACTCATCTTGGTTTGTATTTTTTGGTCGATTTTCGGTCATTTTAATGATGTTACCCCTTTCTAAATTTTCGGAAAATGGCTTTTCAGAAAAGTTAGCAAAAAACTGCACTCCTAAGCCCATAACTTTTATTAAAGACATCCGATTCCAAAGTGGCATACTTCAAAATGATTGTTGTTTAATTCTCTAAAAATCTGTGTACTCATCTTGGTTTGTATTTTTGGGTCGATTTTTGGTCATTTTAATGATGTTACCCCTTTCCAAATTTTCGGAAAATAGCTTTTCAGAAAAGTGACCAAAAACCTGGGCTTAGAAAGCCCATAACTTTCCTCAATGACATCCGATTTCAAAGTGGCATACTTCAAAATGATTGTGGTTTAATTCTCTTAAAATCTGTGTACTCATCTTGGTTTGTATTTTTTGGTCGATTTTCGGTCATTTTAATGATGTTACCCCTTTCTAAATTTTCGGAAAATGGCTTTTCAGAAAAGTTAGCAAAAAACTGCACTCCTAAGCCCATAACTTTTATTAAAGACATCCGATTTCAAAGTGGCATACTTCAAAATGATTGTGGTTTAATTCTCTAAAAATCTGTGTACTCATCTTGGTTTGTATTTTTTGGTCGATTTTCGGTCATTTTAATGATGTTACCCCTTTCTAAATTTTCGGAAAATGGCTTTTCAGAAAAGTTAGCAAAAAACTGCACTCCTAAGCCCATAACTTTTATTAAAGACATCCGATTCCAAAGTGGCATACTTCAAAATGATTGTTGTTTAATTCTCTAAAAATCTGTGTACTCATCTTGGTTTGTATTTTTTGGTCGATTTTCGGTCATTTTAATGATGTTACCCCTTTCTAAATTTTCGGAAAATGGCTTTTCAGAAAAGTTAGCAAAAAACTGCACTCCTAAGCCCATAACTTTTATTAAAGACATCCGATTTCAAAGTGGCATACATTTAAATAATGGTGGTTTAATTCAGTAAAATTCTGTATTATCATGTTGGTTTACATTTTTAGGTCGTTTTTTTGTCATTTTGTAATTATTCCAAAATTAGTTTTGCAGAAAAGTGATATAAATCAATATCTATCGACACACCAAGACTTTTTATAAATCAAACCATTATTTATGAAGTTATGGAGAAAATAAGTTACGACCCCACTTTTCATACATTCGAGAGCGGATATTTATTTAGAAATTGGTTAGCTAAATAACGGGTATCTTAAAGTTCCTCCTTGTTAATTTGCTAATTCAAAATCTTTATTTTTTTAGCGAAAAAAAATAATTTGCATGAATGCTTGATAAATCTTAAAAACATAAAAGCATTTTTCAGTATACATTTTTTAGCTTATTTTCCAAAAAAATTTCCGAAGGGTAGAGGTAGTCTTGGAGGAGGGCGAGGACGAGGAAATGCTGGAATCGGAGGCGGAAGCGGAAGCGGAAGCGGAATAGGTAGAATAGCAATCACACCAATATCAGATTCAGGCAAAGCTCCAAGAAACGGAAATGGAGGCAAGGGTATTGGAGGTGGAAGTGGGAAGAGTGGAGGCCCAACCGGTTGTTGAGGCTGAGGGTTGGGTGGAGTGCGAATAGTCGTGGTAGATTCTTCCGTTGTTGTAGGAGCTACTGTAGTTGTTGTAATTTCTTCATTGGTTGTAGGAGCTAGGGTAGTTGTGGATATTTCTTCCGTGCCTGTAGGAGAGTTTGTGGTTGTCGTTAATTCTTCGGTGGTTGTAGGAGCTAAGGTGGTTGTTGTTAGTTCTTCGGTGGTTGTTTGACCGATTGTGGTTGTCGTTACTTCTTCGGTGGTTGTAGGAGCAATTGCGGTTGTCGTTACTTCTTCGGTGGTTGTAGGAGCAATTGTGGTTGTCGTAACTTCTTCGGTGGTTGTAGGAGCGATTGTGGTTGTCGTTACTTCTTCGGTGGTTGTAGGAGCAATTGTGGTTGTCGTAACTTCTTCGGTGGTTGTAGGAGCGATTGTGGTTGTCGTTACTTCTTCGGTGGTTGTAGGAGCAATTGTGGTTGTCGTTACTTCTTCGGTGGTTGTAGGAGCGATTGTTGTTGTCGTTACTTCTTCGGTGGTTGTAGGAGCGATTGTTGTTGTCGTAACTTCTTCGGTGGTTGTAGGAGCGATTGTGGTTGTTGTTAGTTCTTCGGTGGTTGTTGGAGCAATTGTGGTTGTCGTTACTTCTTCGGTGGCTGTAGGAGCGATTGTGGTTGTCGTTACTTCATCGGTGGTTGTAGGAGCAATTGTGGTTGTCGTAACTTCTTCGGTGGTTGTAGGAGCGATTGTGGTTGCCGTTACTTCTTCGGTGGTTGTAGGAGCCATTGTGGTTGTCGTTACTTCTTCGGTGGTTGTAGGAGCAATTGTGGTTGTCGTTACTTCTTCGGTGGTTGTAGGAGCGATTGTTGTTGTCGTTACTTCTTCGGTGGTTGTAGGAGCGATTGTTGTTGTCGTAACTTTTTCGGTGGTTGTAGGAGCGATTGTGGTTGTTGTTAGTTCTTCGGTGGTTGTTGGAGCAATTGTGGTTGTTGTTATTTCTTCGGTGGTTGTTGGAGCAATTGTGGTTGTCGTTACTTCTTCGGTGGCTGTAGGAGCGATTGTGGTTGTCGTTACTTCATCGGTGGTTGTAGGAGCAATTGTGGTTGTCGTTACTTCTTCGGTGGTTGTAGGAGCGATAGTGGTTGTTGTTAGTTCTTCGGTGGTTGTTGGAGCAATTGTGGTTGTCGTTACTTCTTCGGTGGTTGTAGGAGCGATTGTTGTTGTCGTAACTTCTTCGGTGGTTGTAGGAGCGATTGTGGTTGTCGTTACTTCTTCGGTGGTTGTAGGAGCAATTGTGGTTGTCGTTACTTCTTCGGTGGTTGTAGGAGCGATAGTGGTTGTTGTTAGTTCTTCGGTGGTTGTTGGAGCAATTGTGGTTGTCGTTACTTCTTCGGTGGTTGTAGGAGCGATTGTTGTTGTCGTAACTTCTTCGGTGGTTGTGGGAGCGATTGTGGTTGTCGTTACTTCTTCGGTGGTTGTAGGAGCAATTGTGGTTGTCGTTACTTCTTTGGTGGTTGTAGGAGCGATTGTGGTTGTTGTTAGTTCTTCGGTGGTTGTTGGAGCAATTGTGGTTGTCGTTACTTCTTCGGTGGTTGTAGGAGCGATTGTTGTTGTCGTAACTTCTTCGGTGGTTGCAGGAGCGATTGTGGTTGTCGTTACTTCCTCGGTGGTTGTAGGAGCAATTGTGGTTGTCGTTACCTCTTCGGTGGTTGTAGGAGCGATTGTGGTTGTTGTTAGTTCTTCGGTGGTTGTTGGAGCAATTGTGGTTGTTGTTAGTTCTTCGGTGGTTGTTGGAGCAATTGTGGTTGTCGTTACTTCTTCGGTGGTTGTAGGAGCGATTGTGGTTGTCGTTACTTCATCGGTGGTTGTAGGAGCAATTGTGGTTGTCGTTACTTCTTCGGTGGTTGTAGGAGCGATTGTGGTTGTTGTTATTTCTTCGGTGGTTGTTGGAGCAATTGCGGTTGTCGTTACTTCTTCGGTGGTTGTTGGAGCAATTGTGGTTGTCGTAACATCTTCGGTGGTTGTAGGAGCTACTGTGGTTGTCGGTACTTCTTCGGTGGTTGTAGGAGCATTTGTGGTTGTCGTTACTTCTTCGGTGGTTGTAGGAGCGATTGTGGTTGTTGTTATTTCTTCCGTGGTCGTAGGTGCGATTGTGGTTGTTGTTAGTTCTTCCGTGGGCGTAGGAGCGATTGTGGTTGTTGTTATTTCTTCAGTAGTCGTAGGTGCGATTGTGGTCGTTGTTAGTTCTTCCGTGGTCGTATGAGAGATAGTTGTTGTTGATAATTCAGTGGTTGTAGGAGTAGTAATTAATTCTTCAGTGGTTGTCTTTAATTCTTGAATGGTTGTGGGCGTGATAGTGGTTAATTCTTCCGTAGTTGAGGGGGTCATTGTAGTTGAAGTTACTTTACATCTTGGCAAATTCGGAAAAAGTATACATTCTATGGATTCAGTTGTTAATTCTGCTGTGGTCGTAGGAGCGATTGTGGTTGTCTTTACTTCTTGGGTGGTTGTAGGAGCGATTGTGGTTGTTGATAATTCTTCGGTGGTTGTAAGAGCGATTGTGGTTGTCTTTACTTCTTGGGTGGTTGTAGGAGCGATTGTGGTTGTTGATAGTTCTTCGGTGGTTGTAGGAGCGATTGTTGTTGTCGTAACTTCTTCGGTGGTTGTAAGAGCCTTTGTGGTTGTAGGAGCGATTGTGGTTGTCGTTACTTCTTGGGTGGTTGTAGGGGGATCGTGGTTGTTGTTATTTCTTCCGTGGTTGTAGGTGCGATTGTGGTTGTTGTTATTTCTTCCGTGGTCGTAGGAGCGATTGTGGTTGTTGATATTTCTTCCGTTGTTGTAGGAGCGATAGTTGTTGTCGTTAATTCAGTGTTTGTATATGCAGCTGTGTTAGTAGTTTGTTCGTCAGGGGTTGTCGTTTGTTCTTGTGTGATGGTGGGAGTGAGTGTGGTTGTGGTTAATTCTTCCGTAGTAGTGGGAGAAGCTTCTGTAGTGGTAGTTAGTTTACAAATTGGCAAAATCGGAAAAAGTATACATAATGTGGACTCAGTAGTAGTTAAAACTGTGCTTGTAGGAGTTAAGGTGGTTGTCGTTATTTCTTCTGTGGTTGTGGGTGCGATTGTTGTTGTCGTTAATTTTTCCGTAGTAGTGGGTGACATTGGGGTTGTAGAATCTTCTACTGTTTTTGTTGTGGTTTTGTGCTTACATCTTGCCAATTCCGGAAAAATTTTACAAAGAATTGATTCAGTTGTAGTTGATACTGTAGCAGCTGTTGTGTTTTGAGTTGCAGAAAAGGTTATTGTAAGTGCAGCCCACAGTCCAAGAACCAAATTAATTCCGTGGATTATTCCGTGCGATGTCAGTCCTACCATCTTGAGCTCTTCATGTGCACTGCTACCTTGAACTGTAGTGCAACTACTTATGTAAAAATTGGCGTTCAGTTTTCTTTGTTGTGGGAAAGATAACCGAATGACAGTGCTTCCACCCTTGTCAAATGCAAACATTCAGTAAAATCAGTGCAGCCAGGAAGGTGTAAGATAACACTCTCGTCCTCTGATAAACAATGCAACTGCATTCCGAACTATTTTAATTCTTTAAAATAAATAAATACAATAATTTTCCTAAAAACGTTATTGATATTTATTTTCGAAATCATATTTAGATTATAATCAGAGGATTTTATAACTGACGAAGTATTTTCAATATCGTAAATTTAAATACACCTCTTATGGTCGGTAACCTTTAAAATAAATAAAACAAATGCCAAATTAAGCTTAACTATATTTTATTTATTTTACAGAATTTTGTAAATAAGCTTGCATTTGATTTAATGCCAAAAATAAATTATATGTGAACTTAGCTTAGATCCCAATTAGATTCCACTTCTATTGGTTTTTTTTACACATTCTTTGCTCCTTTCTTAAATTGAACTATTTGTAATGACTGTTTTATGAAGGCGAAAAAGAAAAATACAGAAAAGTTTATGGAAGCACCAAATCGTTGCGTATATCTTTTACACTCGATGGATTTGCACCAGTTCTATAAAAGATTGTAATTTCTTAAGTCCATTCCAAAACTTTGGCAAGATTTCGCTAAGAATTTTGGATGTGATTGATGAAACTCCTCCTCGCTTAAACTAAATCTTAAGATTTAAACAAAAAACTGCTTAAAGAAGGGCCATTCAGGCCCGGCAGTTCTAATCTCTTCACGCTAGGACCCCATCCAGGGCATGGATCACTCCATTGGTGGCTGGGATGTTCGATGTGACCATCTGGGCATCGTTCACCTTGATCTTGCCAGCGGACGTCTTCTGCAGGATGACGGTTTTGCCCGTTGACAGCGAGTCCTTGACCTGGTAGAAACGCATTCCGGCGGAGAAGAGAGCTCCGGGAACAATGTGCTTCATGGCAAACTGCTCGGCGGCCTCCTTGTCGTTGTAGAGCTTCTCCAGAGTGTCCGAGTCCAGTTCGCTGAAGCTCTTGTCCACAGGAGCGAATACCGTGTAGGTTTTAACACCTATAAAATTGTATTTGTTGTTATATTTTCTTTTTATAGGGTTAAATTTGTTCTTACCCTTGCTTTGCAGCTTCTCGGACAGTCCAGAGGTGTACAGAATCTTGAGGAAATTGCTGAAGCGACCCTCGCGATCAGACTGAAGAGTCTGCAAAATATCTCCAACGGGCAGTGGGAACATCACGCGATCGACGGCGTGGGCCACTCCTTGAGGGATCTTTATGTCCTTTTTGTTCAGCACAACCATGGCTCCGTTGATGGTGGTGAGCTGCAGGGGAAATGCATTACTTTAATTTTCATATTAGATAAATAAATCTTAGCTTTTCTTACAGTCACATCATTCCACTCCTGGTCGTGCATGTTGTACTGATTGACTCGCAGTTGGGTTCCGGCCAGAGATACGCCCGTCATCTCGTCCTGCAGGGTGGCAATTTCAAAGGACCCGGGGATCACATGGTGGAGCAGCAGCTAAGCAGAAAAATAATAATAATAAAAACATAAATAAATTTTTAAATATAACAATTTGTTAAAAAATATCTATACAATTGAAATTCTTTTTATTTCTAAAGTACTTTCTATTTTTAGTATAATATTTTGTAGTCGAAGTTGTAAACTGTTAAATAAAGTTTTGTTTGTAAAAATTGGGCCAAAATATTTTTTTGTTTGGATAAATAGAGAATTAAAACTAATAATTAAACAACAGAATCAAATTATTAAGCTGTGAAAAAGATCTTTTTTTTTAAAAAGGTTTTTAAAAATGTGTATAATGAACAAAATGTAACTTTGTTTCAACTTACCCCACTCAGTAGTCTGGGATTGGACTGGAACTTCTCCTCGGCCCTTTCGGGACCGCCCAACTGCACCAATAAGTTCTTGAAGGCCTTGTCCGTGGGCACAAAGATGGTATAGGGTCCAGTCTCGTTGAGAATGCTGTCCAGGCCGGACTGCCTCAGATATTTGGCCATGGCGAAGAGTCCGTTGGTCTTAAGGATCTGCAGCAGATCCTCGCTGGGATTGGACAGCACAGAACTGGTCGCCGGACTGACCTGTGCCGCCTTCTCGGTGTTCTCCGTCTCCTGGACGAGGGCATCGGCATATTGGGGCACCGGTGGCAGCAACTCGGGGTTGTTCACCACATCAGACAGCCGTTCGGTGACCACTGGCAGATGAGTGGATACACCTTCCAGATATGGGGAAACCGTCACCGTGGAACCACCGTAAATGGGAGCGGGAGTGGTGCGGATCAGACTAGCCGCATTTGCGTGGCTCGTGCTGCTCTCGAAAATCAAATTGTGGCGGGCTGTGGTGGGTGCGGTGGTTGTGGTGGTTGTCGTCGAAGTCCTCGACGGGTGATACTGCCTGTGGTTGCTGGGCGTTCCGCGGGAAACAAAAGGCGTTGGCGTGGTAGTGGTGGTGGTGGTGGTTGTCGAAGTTGTCGTTGGCGCACGTGTGGTCTGTATAATCTTGCCGCTCTTGATCTCCACCAGCTCATCGTTGGGCAAGGTCAGGCGGGAAACGGAGGGCGGCAACTTAATCTCACCGCTCCTAATTCGCTCCAGAATGCTTTCCACTTCGGATCCAGTTTGCTTTGTCTCCTTCTCGCCATTGGCCTTGACTCCTTGGATCTTGAAACTGCCATCGGCCTGCTCCTCGAGATACACATATGTGGCCTTCTTCTTGGGCGGCAGAGTGGGTGGTGGTGCAGCGGTGGCCGGTGCCTGCGACTTTGAGCTTAGACCCTCGATCTCATAGCCATCGGGGATGAGTCCCCGCTTGGCCAGCTCTTCCAGGGATGGTGGATCATCCGAATCCGAGGTAATGACTGCGGAACTGGCTATGCTGTTTGCTCCACTGCTGATGCCCTGAATGTCACCTGCACCACCGCCATAGAGGGCGGCCAAACTGGACAGATCCACGCCACCGGGCAGAGAACCAGTGGGCAGGGTGTCCGACTCCTGGGGATCGGGTGATCGCAGGATCTGCACCTTTCCACCACCGGGCAGCTCGAGATCCTTGCTCTTGCTGGGAGCCACATCACTCAGACTGAGCTTGGCATCGCCACCCAAAGCCTGTTGTGCCAACAGCGTTTGCAGTTGCTCCTGCGAGTAGGCCTTCTGTCCCTGCACCAAGTTGGGATCGGTGGTGCGGATCACCTGAACCCGCTGTCCATTGGGCAGTACCAAATCCATCTCGTCGTAGGTCTTGTTGCCAGTCAGCGGTTGCTGTGGTGCCTCAGACAAGGCTGCCTTCAGTTGCTTCAGCAGATCATCTCGAGCGATCGTCTTCACAGGTTTCTTACCCTTCTGACTTGGATATTTTCCCAATTCCGATTTCACCTGAGCATAAATGTTCTTTTTCGGTGTTGTCGTGGCCTCAGTGGTTGTGGTTGTTGTCGTGGTGGTTGTTGTTGTCGTCGGATGCTCTTTGTAGTACTGCTGCAGGGCACTGTTAAACTGATTGTACTCCGTGGGATGAGCCACAGGTCTTCCACGTGCCGGTGCGGCAACATAGGGTGAGTTCTGGTAGTTGCCATTGTGCTGGGTCACAATTGTGGGCAGGATATGCTGCTTGATCTGGTGTTGCTTGATCAAGAACTCTTCGTGCTGCTGACGCACCTTGTGTTGCGACTTCTCATACTGTTTGGCCACGAATTGCTCATGCTTCTGGATCAGCTTTTGTTTGTACTCCTGGTCAGCTGGTTGGGCTTGAGGTTGGACAGGCGATTGGGCATTAACAAACTGGTGCTGGAACTGTGTCTGTTGCTGTTGAGTTGGAAGTTGCTGCTGCAGTTGCTGCTGCGGTTGCTGCTGGAAGGTTCCTCTGGTGGGCTCCGGAAAGGGAGTGGCCTGGACATTGCTAAAGATCTGCGGCACCGGCAATCCCAGCTGCGGAGTCAGCTGATATTGCTGCTGACTGGATTGTGGTTGATAGTTAAACTGGGTCTGCTGCTGGGGAATGGTCTGGAAAGTAGGAACTGGCGCCTGACTAGGGAGCTTTTGGGTTGTCTGGGGCAGAACTTGGGGTCCGAATTGCTGGGGTTGCTGGTAGGCAAACTGCTGTTGCTGCTGCAATTGCTGTTGCTGGTAGGTTTCTGGCGAAGGTTGAGGTGGAAAAGCCGTGGACTGCAAGCGGGTATCTACGTGGGAGATTGCAGATAGTTGTACAGGTTGAAGATCAAGAAAGATTTCGAGTTCTACTTACCGAATTGCTTGTGGCGCTGTTGCTGGGGATGTTGCTGTTGATGTTGCTGCTGGGAGCCAGCAAAGTTGCGCAAGTCCAAGAAGTTTTGATGATGCAGATCTATGCCCGCGGCGGAAGAGGGTAACTGCTGTGGCTGCTGCGGGAATTGCGGAGCCGTCTGCAATTGGTTTTGGGTCGAACGTTGGAACTGCTGGTTGTTGTGGGGCTGTTGCTGCTGCTGTTGCGGCTGATGTTGCTGCTGCTGCTGCTGTGGGAACTGCCCGAAGCGATGCTGCTGCGGTGGCTGCTGGTGATGCAGATGCGTGTGTTGCTGGTGGGGGCCATGTTGGGCGCGGTGGGGAATGGGTAGCTCCACGCCCGCCTGGACAAAGTTTTGCTGATTGTACTGCTGCACATTCAGCTGGCGGCGCTGCGAGTTGTGAAAGGGCGGCTGCAATGAGGGCAACAAGCGAGTTACAACTTTCCATGGCGATCATTGCATCATCCCGGTCAGAGCAGAAAACCAGCTCCAGCTCGAGATCCCTCCACAGTTAAAAGATAAGTCAAACATTGAGCGAACGCTCCTAAAATAGACATGAACCAGTTTCACAGGTGGTTGTAATACCAATCTCCGCTCCATTTTTGCAGGCAAAACTAGACTGTGTGTCTGGTTTGGCTTTGGGGT